ACGCACAATGAAGTCACTCCTTTTTACCGCCATTTTGAGCCTTCGGAAACGTTCGGAACAGCTTCTCATCAAGTTCGCAATACTATTACAGGTAAGGTTGACGCATGCGCAGACGTTTTTCCGCGGTGTTGATAATCTCACATGTGAAAATTATCGCTTTTCAATTATCGCTTTTCTGTAGAAATTATCGCTTTTCAAAGACTGTCCTTTATATAATTAACAGAGAAATACATGGGTGCTTGGAAATACCAGATTTATTTCTCGTGTTCACTGTTGACTGTTGACTGTTTTCAACACTCGAAATAAATCTGGATTTTCCGCGCACCCATGTATTATTCTCTATATATTGTATATTAGAATTCGCTGAGTTCCAATTTGGGGGTTTTCGAGTCGTTACAAATATATCAGATCTGTATGACGAAGTTCTTCACATTGTGGCACCTATCGGACGTTCCGATCACCAATGTTTGTTCTTACCACCCAAAACAAGACATATAGTGTCGAGCGAGTGACTCTTTTAAAGAGACAGCGGGCTGGTAATTGCTTTGTTCGAACCATGGTATAAATCTTGCTGATACCACAGAATAAAGATCAGTAACAGAAGGGCCACTCAGCGGTGCAACGTGTCCTCGTTTTTTATGCAAAAATATGCAGTTTACTGGCCAAAAGGCGGAGAAGCCAGCCAGTACAGCGTGTTTATTGTCCAGAAAATGTCATTGACTGGCCAGGAAAATGGCGGCCAACATGCGTAATGCGACATGCGCGAGGACAGAAACTTCAAAGCTTCCGACGTAAGTGACCCATCTATATGGATCTTTATTCTATGCTGATACATCAACTTTGAGGGATATATAAACCTAAGATAATGTTTGATTACTAGATATTTGTAAGACAAGGAGCATTAGATATAGTTTGATATTCATAGTAATCAATTCCAGATATCCCAGTGAACATACTGTATAGTTCAAGATACCAGCAATCCAGCATCAGACAAGGCTGCGTGTTTTTATACATACTACCTAACCATATAAGCGCAGAACGTTGTTTAAATATGAATATTATATAACATAACATTATAGGTAACGCAGAATGTTCTTATGGGAATTCATTGACTTGTATTAGAGTTATCATGCGCTTCTTGTGAACGCAGAGTGAAACCGCGTAAATTTTGCTCATGTGCTTCTTATTCTGGGAACTCTCTGCTAGATGGGTTGTATTCAGTATTATATAATACCTTATTGAATTCTGATCGTTTAATTGGCTGTTTATGGTCTCGTGATATTGAATAAAAAATTCCATTTCCCAAGAGTGCAATGGAATACGTTCCATTGCATTTTCTGCGAAGTTGCGAACGAAACGTATAGTACAATTGCACTCTTTGTTTTCGATAAATCGCATCCCTCAAAATGCTTCTCATACGAATCTATTAGTCTATTTTGGTATTAGTAACATTCCATCTTTCACCTCATGAAAATATTCTTACCATTGCACTGATAAACATTCATTATTTGTATATTGTGCAAATGATTGGTTCGTCCAAAATAACACTGTATTGGGTTGTAGTAAAGTTGTAGACAATAATCTCTGCGATCGCCTTTTGAACGATGTTTTTTACGTTTTGTTAGAGCATGCGCATGAGAGCTAATATGGCGTGCGAAGGAAAACAGTGTTTTACCACCAATTACTATTTTGTAATTTTCCGTATATTTTATAATTAAAGTGAGTTGAAACCTGTTTTTCGCCTCATTTACTGGCAATCCCAGTACAGTAAAACACTAACGTTCGCTGTGGCATTCCAGAATTGTGAAGAAGCCTAAATACAAAGGAGTTTTGCAGCCCAAAACTTGTGTATTGCTTGAAGACAAATCCAGGAATCAGCCATGAATGTTGAAGATAAAAAAACAAGAAAGAAGCAAGGCTAAAATGGCGGTCACTGTCGCTGCGAGGCGTCTGATCGGAGCCTACAACAGAGATTGTGAATATGATATTTTAAAGAATTCGATGTTCGAACTTGAAAAGGTATTTGATGATTTTTGCGTTATAAATGAGGAATACGAACTCATTGTATCTGACGAAAAATACGCTGAACACCGTGTAGTTGATGGTGAAGACATTATGACTTACAGAGACAATGTAAAAAGGTGCTATGAAGAAGCTAGGAGTGTATTTGTTAGTGTAAAGACAACAATCGAACAAAAAGCTAGACGACAAAGTGCTGGGCCTGTCAAAGTTGCCCTAAAGAATGACATTTGTAGAATTCATGAACTAATCACAGTCGTTGATGAGAGTTTCAAACTGGAAAATGTGAATATGGCAGCTTTACAACCAAATAAAAATGATCTACAGTCAATTTTGAACATAATATGTGATAACATGGCAAAACTTGGCTCGATTGAAACACAAGAGCAAGTTAACCTAATCCAAGAAGATGTCGATGCTATTATCAGAGCAGTTTACAATTGCATCAGAAAGATAAACTTGTTTTTGCATGAGCAACAAGCATTTGTTAAATCATTACACATTGAAACTGCCACTCTCCCCTCTGAAACCAACACCCCCCTGAGAACATCAACACCGTATCCCCCCCGGAGATCAACACCAACATCCCCCCTGAGGACACTGAGACCATCAACACCATGTCTCCCCCCGGAAATCAACACCAACACCCCCCTGAGAACACTGAGACCATCAACACCATGTCTCCCCCAGGAAATCAACACCAACACCCCCCTGAGAACACTGAGACCATCAACACCATGTCTCCCCCCGGAAATCAACACCAACACACCCCTGAGAACACTGAGACCATCAACACCATGTCTCCCCCCGGAAATCAACACCAACACCCCCCTGAGACCATCAACACCAACACCCCCCCGGATATCAACACCAACACCCCCCCTGAGGACACGGATACCATTAACACCATGTCCCCCCCAGAAACCAACACCCCCCCTGAGACCATCAGCACCACTTCCCCCTCGGTAATCAACACCAATATCCCCCCTGAGCCCATTTACACTGCAACCCACCCTGAAATTATTGACACCCCTGCTATCGAGACCAACACAATTCCACCTATGTTGCCAATTAACGCTCCCCCCATTAATTACTCCAGTCCCTTTGGCACCCAAGTTACCACCAACATTACAAAGGCCAACATTACAAAGGCCAACACCCCTCTACCAACCTTACCTGGGACCAGTACGGGTTTTTGCTTGAATACATCAGCTCAAACCCTCATTCCCTCTACCACCTTTCATTCGGAAAGCAGTTCCACATCGGGACAAACGCATTTGTCTCAGCAATGTCAGAATCCTACAAATTTATCAACAGGTTTCCCTCCATTTGCAATGCCAATGGGATCAAATCTGCCAAGAGTGGCATCCAGCTATCATAGCAACCACAATCAGACCAGGAGCAATTTGTCAACCAGTCCTATGTATACAACCCCATCTGGACATCAACCCACAGTCCCGTTGATTAATACAAGACGTTCCCACCAAGATTCCACCATTCGGCTAAAAAGGATGGCCCTACCCACATTCTCCGGACTTAGGAAAGACTGGCCAGAGTTCAAGGCAGTCTGGAAGTCTATGGCTGAGTCTGCAAGTTATAATAAAACTGCATTAGCACACGAACTTAAGAACTCAGTTAAGGGAGAAGCCAAACACCGCATCAAATCTGTTTTTGTCACCAAGCCCGAAGCTTACGATATCATGTGGGAAAAGCTAGAGTGTCACTATGGAGATACTACTGCCAGTGTACAAGCTGCTTTGGAAGATCTTCAAAGGCTAAAACCTGTAAAAGAAGAAGATTATAAAGCTCTGGTTGAATTAGTGGATGAAGTTGAATCCGCCTACAGTCAATTGGAAGAGCTCAACCAGCTAAACACTTTAACCATGCGAGATGTAGACAACCTAACTGATTTGTTACCTACCCATCTTAAAGTCGACTGGAGACGAAAGTATCGTGATTTATCGTCTGCGGAGAAGCTTCAACCATTTACTCTGCTAATGAAGTTCCTAGACAGAGAACGTTCAGTTGTGTCTCGTTTAGCCGAGAATCAGCATTCTAAGAAAAGAGGAAATGACAATGCAAGAGGATACAGCAAAACCTATCATGTTGAAAGAGTGCAAAACACGGACAAAGAACCTACTACAAGTGTGCCTTCCCCACCCACAGAGAAGACACCATAAATCACACCACCGAACAGTGCAAAGAATTCCAGAAGTTGTCCATCAGCGGTAAAGATGGCAGATATGAGTTGTTGAAGCAGGTAAACGCTTGTTTCAAATGTTTTGGTAATCATAGGAAGCTTAACTGCCCCAAAAAACTCCCATGTTCCTCATGTGGAAGTGACCAACACTCCCTGCTGTACATCCCACCAAAGCTCCCAAAAGATTCTGGGGAGATATCGAGAACTGGAGATGATGGGAACAAGGAAGTAGCATCCTATACCGTAGGAAATGATTCAATGGCATTTAACCCTATCCACCAAGCGACCATTAGCGACAGTGGTAGAAAAGTGTCCGTCTTCTGTGATGGAGGCTCTAACGCAAGTTATATCACTCATCGTGCTGCGGAAAGAATAAAAAGAAAGTTAAAAAACTCTCTCTTGACGTGACAACTATGGGAAATGTCGAGAAAACGTACAACACGTGGCAATACGAGTTTCCAATCAACACAAGTGCTGGAAAGAAAGCCTTTACGGCCTTTGGCATGGAGCGAATTACCGGACAAGTAAGCAAACTGGATCCTAAAGTCCTGGTCAAGTTATTCCCAGAATATGATCCTGAAACACTCCAGCGAAAGTCAACGCACGTGGATGTCCTGCTGGGCTGTGATTACTTCGGTCTCCATCCAAAGCAAGAAGAAGCTAGATGTGGTGACAATCTAAGTATCATGAACGGAGCATTGGGGATTTGCCTCCAAGGCGCCCATCCAGATCTGATCGAAGAAACAAGATATGACACCAATCTCGCAAAGAAAATACACGATGTTAACGTGAAAGTGGAGACATACAAGACACGCTTGGACTCACATCCAGAGTTCCATCCCAATCATACCAGAGAATGTTCTGTTAATGTATCGAGTTCCTATAGTCACCGAAAGGACGAAAGCCAGATTGACAATTTTATCAATCAAGAGAAGAACTTGCCACCGAAATTTCTCCACAATGTGGTGGATGTCGCTGTAATAAGTGCCCTACTGTCGGACACACTTACTCTTTCAAGGAAGAACATGAATTAAAACTGATTCAAGAAAACCTCGAGTACGATGAAGTTAACCAATGCTGGATAACCAGTTATCCTTGGCTCGTAGATCCACAAAGTTTACCCGACAATTATCACACTGCACTTGCTACGTTAGAAAGAACTGAAAGAACGCTTAAGAAAGATGACCAATGGGCTAAGACGTACAAGAGGCAAATGGACGATATGGTCGATCGTTGTGTAGCAAAAAAACTATCATCCGAAGAAGTAAAGAGCTGGACTGGCCCTGTGTTATATATCTCCCATTTAGCAGTTGTAAACCCGCATTCCAATTCTACGCCCGTAAGAATTGTGTTAAACTCCAGCCAAACGCACAAAGGTGTTTTGTTAAACGCTTGTCTCGCAAAAGGTCCAGACAGCTACATGAACAACTTGGTTGGTATTCTTCTACGTTGGAGAGAAGAAAGAGTACGGTTTATTTGAAGGCCTTGGAACAGCATTGCCACCGTTTCCTATGGCGAGATTTACAGCAGCATCGCCCACCGGACATTTACGTAATACAACGAGTCAATATGGGCGATACACCAGCCCCCGCCATCAGCACAGAAGCTGTCTACAAGACCGCGGAGTTGTATCGAGAGGATAGTCCACAAGCCGCAAATCTCCTAAAACATTCCAGTTACGTGGATGATTTGATTGACTCACGTCCAAGTAAACCCGACGCGTTAAAGATTGCCAAGGAAGCCGAGGATATCCTTGCCAAAGGAGGATTTGCTGTAAAGTGCTGGCAATTCAGTGGCGAAACACAACCTCGCGTGAAAGAAGAGTTGTTAAAATTGGACCTGCCAGAAAAGAGTGTTGAAAGCTCAGACCAAGGACTAATAATGTTAAAAGGAACTGACGAAAACTTACGAGTGCTCGGTCTGGGATGGAATCCGAAGAAAGACACCATCACCTATGAAGTAACTTTGAATTTCAGTAGCAAGAGACGCGGAGTTCGAACCGGTTCAAACCTGCTATAGAAAGCGACCTACCAAGTGCATTACCGAATGTGTTAACCAGACGAATCGTTCTTGGGCAAGTAATGAAGATTTATGACCCACTCGGACTGATTTCTCCATTTACATTGATGGCCAAGATATACTTACGCGAAACCTGGTCCCGCAAGCTCTGATGGGATAACCCACTTCCAGCAGAACTTTGCAACAAATGGTCCAATTTCTTCACTGCTCTTTTCAAACTCAGCGTTTGTGTTTGGAGCGATGCTTACTACCTGTGAATAGTGATGGACGCCCTTGGTTAATAATCTTGAGCGATGGTAGTGATCTGGCGTATGGCTTTGCAGCTTACATTCGATGGAAATTGGATGATGGAAGCTACTGGTGTAGGTTGATCATGGCGAAGTGTCGCATTGCTCCAATCAATACGTTATCTACCCCTCAGATGGAGTTAAACGCAGCTGTTCTGCCGAAAAGAGGAAGAAAGGTTATCGAGAAAGAAATGAGGTTCGACTTCGAGAGAGTTTTACAAATCGTGGTCTCAGAAACAGTCTTGAGTATGATCCACAAGACAAGCACACGTTTCAAAGTTCACGAGTGAGTACGAATCGGAGAAATCCAAGCAGCAACTGAAGGAGATCCGACTTGCTGGGCTTGGATGTCTGGCCAACATAATACAGGTGACTGGTTGACACGCGGCAGAGCACCAGAGGAGCTGAACAACGATTCTCATTGGCGGAATGGACCGCCGATTCTATACCGACCGATAGAAGAATGGGGATTAAAGTTTAACCCAAAGAAAGAACCACTCCCCGGTGAAACGAAAGTCCATGTTGTAGCAGCAGCGAGCGTAGAGGCATTGTTGATCGACTATGAAAGATTCAGCAATATCAACAAAGCTATTTGGGTCGTCGCCAGATTGCTAAACATTGCGAAGAAAAGTTTTAAAGGCGGAAGGACTCTGTCCATCTCGGTTAAGCAATTACAAGAAGCCGAGAACTTTATTGTTAAAGAAGTTCAGAAATCATTTGAAAGTGAACTGACAAAAACTGACCGCAAAGGCAGAAAAGGTGGTCGTGTCGCTTGTTTGAATCCAGTCCAAGATGAAAGTGGACTGTGGGTAGTGGGACAGCGCCTGAAGAACATAAATCCCATGACAGTGGATTCTTCGCTGCAAAAGCTATTGCCCTACCGACATCATGTTACCAGATTCTTCATGCAACGAGCTCACACTTCTGGTCATAGAGGGCGTGATGCAACCTTAGCACGATTCCATCAACTCTACTGGGTAACCCAAGGAAGCAAACTCGCTCAATCAATCAAGAGTAAATGTCAGATCTGCAAGCTACGAGAAGCAAAGTTCCTCGAGCAGCAAATGGGACAATTACCGGAAGCAAGATTGAAACCATCTCCAGCTTTCAACCACGTAATGATAGACCTTTTCGGACCCTACTCGGTTCGTGAAGAAGTACAGAAAAGAACAAATGGCCCTTAGCAGATTCGTCAGTGTTCGTGGTTGGCCCGAAATCATATATAGTGATCCCGAATCACAACTAATTGGTGCAGAAAGAGAACTCGTGAAAACCTGGAAGAGCATTGACCGACAATCCCTACATAAAAGTGGCACAGAGAGTGGATTGACCTGGATCTTCGGCCCCGCTGATAGTCCTTGGTACCAAGGAGCTGTAGAATCCCTGGTGAAGAGTGCCCAGAGAGCTATTCATTTCGCAATCAATAACCAACGTCTATCAGTCCAATAGTTCATGACGGTATGTAGCGAAGCCACGAACCTCCTTAATGAAAGACCGATTGGAACTCTCCCGACCGCTGATTCCGAATTAAATATCCTTACTCCCAACAGCGTGCTACTGGGCAGAGCAACGGCGAAGAATCCTGGTGGATGGCAGCCTAACGGTAATAATTCAGGAAAGCATTATCATGTTGTCCAGATCGTGACAGACGAGTTCTGGAAGAAATGGACGGAGTTATACGCCCCAGCCTTGGTTATTCATCGCAAGTGGAATACAGCCAACCGTAACCTGCGCCCAGGAGATGTTGTAATAATCGCCGACCGTAATACCTTGCGAGGAGATTACCGTTTAGGTATAGTACAAGAAGTGTTTCCCAGTCAAGTAGGGACACGCACATTATGCCGGAATTTATTTTAGAATAATAGGGGATTTTTTGAAACCGGAAATAATAGGCAAAGAGGGAATAATAGGCCGAACGTTTCGGTATGACGTCATCGTGCCAACGTAAATTCCGTAATTAGCACATGCGCCTTTCGCCCACGGGCCAGCGACGCGGTGTGCACCACTGGTGTGCGCGTGTTTACCGTCTCTGAATACGTCGTGTACGTAGAATTTTTGGACTAATAGCGTCGTGCATTATTTGTTTCTTTTTTACAAATTTCAAATAAAATTGAAATTAAAATCTTGACGAAATTTCTCGCTCCACACCATTATATATTAATAAAGTTCTTATTTTCTCCTGGCCTTGGTTCGACTTGATGTAGAATAATTTTGGGAATAATAGGGGAAAATTTTAAGAATAGTAGGATAAAGTCAAGGGAATTAAGGAATAGAATAATGGGCAAATTTTCGAGCATAATGTGCGTGTCCTTACAGTCAAGACGGAAAAGTTCGTCGAGTAAATGTCATGTACAAGAATTTTCAAATTGGAGAAAAGGTACAGAAATGCAAAGGACATAACGAGGCTGTCATTGTGTCACGAAGTGCTCAGCGATTATCGTTATTGGTACCAGTGGATATGGATCAAGACCAGGAAACCAAGTCGAAAGCAAAAGAGTGTATGAACGGACAAGTGACATTATATAGTATTGAGTGAACAATGCATTAGAGAAATTTCCATTCAGATTTTAAGACGCGATCGCATCGACCCCAGTCCTTCCGGTGTATTGGGTTGTACAATAATCTTCTACACCAGGAACAATTGCGAACATCGTCCCTCTGGGACTAACAGTTTTATACTTGTTTAATTTAACATTTTATTGCTGCCTGACAAGAACTTAATATGTATCAAACTTCTTGTATATGAATTTATTCATGCACTCTACATAAATTGCCTTCAAAGACATGCTACTATAATTGGGTGCCTCTTGTTGGGTGCCACTTTTGCTGCAGAAGACTGTCTTTATTAAAACACTTCAGTTGATTATTAGTATATATTGACGAACTTTTTAATTCGATCATTTCTGTTCATCATAAACGTAGAAAACTTTGTAACTGGTTATAATTGGGATTTCGTTAAAGTAGGGGTTTAGGTTAAGGACTTAAGTAGGATAGGTTAGGTTTAGGGGAGGGGGGTAAAGGGTTAGAAATGACTGGGATGATGTACAGAATTGAGCACCTGTACATTCTTGAAATGTCCCATATAGTCTCCCGTGTCTAACCAAACTCCTTTTTGGAAAGGTGTGTTGTGGAAAGGCGAATGATTGGCGCCTGAAAACCAGTCTGCTCACTGTTCATGTCCGGAATCAAATATTTGCCATAATGTAGAAATTGTGGTAGTTTGATTCCTAGGCATGCTGATGAGCCCTGACATCGGGCGAAACAGTGCTTAATCCTAACTCTCTGTCTTGATTGCTTTTCTATCATGGACGCTTCTTTCCAAGAAACAAGAACAATGGACCTTCTCATTTGTGATATATCTTTTAGGTAATTCAGAAACAAATCACGACAGCTTATTGAAGAATACTACCTACACTAGACCACCTCGTTTGAGATGTCTTTCAAGTAGTTCAGACACAAACCACGACAGCTTATTGAAGAATACTACCTACCTGGATCACCACGTTTGAGATATCTTTTTCAGGTAGTTCAGACACAAACCACGACAGCTTATTGAAGAATACTACCTACACTGAACCACTACGTTTGAGATATCTTTTTCAGGTAGTTCAGACACAAACCACGACAGCTTATTGAAGAATACTACCTACACTGGACCACCATGTTTGAGATATCTTTTTCAGTTAGTTCAGACACAAACCACGACAGCTTATTGTAGAATACTACCTACACTGGACCACCACGTTTGAGATATCTTTTTCAGTTAGTTCAGACACAAACCACGACAGCTTATTGTAGAATACTACCTACAATGGACCACCACGTTTGAGATATCTTTTTCAGGTAGTTCAGACAGAAACCACGACAGCTTATTGTAGAATACTACCTACACTGTACCACCACGTTTGTTTGATATACCTTTTTCAGGTAGTTCAGACACAAACTACGACAGCTTATTGTAGAATACTACCTACAATGGACCACCACGTTTGAGATATCTTTTCAGGCAGTTCAGACACAAAACACAACAGCTTAAGTTCTTTGTATGTTTGCATGGTGATAAAATATAATAGGTTTTGTTTGTGGAAACACCACGTAAAGTAATAAACACCATGCAGTAATAAATTTACGTGGTGTTTCCACAAACAAAACCTATTACACAACAGCTTATTGAAGAATACTACCTACACTGGACCACCACGTTTGAAATATCTTTTTCAGGTAGTTAAGACACAAACCACGACAGCTTATTGTCGAATACTACCTACACTGGACCATCACGTTTGAGATATCTTTTTCACGTAGTTGAGACTCAAAGGAGACGCACTAGTCTTGTCTGATGAAAGACGAAAAATGTCACTACGATTCAAGGCAAAGAAATTGCAACTATTAAGACGAATGGAACAAACAACCGCTACAGCAAAAAATGACGCAAATTAATGAATGCAGAGATGTTGGAAAGAACGCCATAAAAATATTAAACCATGATCAGTGGACTTGAAAACCTCAGGCTGTTAAGGAACTCCTGGCCGAGACACTATGTGAATATTTTTTAGGAGAACATTTTATTTTTTTAATTTAATAGTATAAAAAGAAGATGAACGAGATACTGTAACGTCTCTAGCTCAGAACGCCATAGTGTGTCGGCTTTCACAGTCTAGCTGACTTGAAAAAAATGTAATTTAAAAAAAATTGTTCATAAACAAAAATGTAGTTCATCTCCTCAAAAGAATGATTGTTTATTCTTTGACATCACATCAGTCTTACTGGACCCTTTAGGGAGAACAGTTAAGAACTGATAGAGCTACCAGTATAAACGAAGTTAGTTTAGGTTTCCTCCTGTAGTAACACTGGATCAATCAGAGATGATTCTTACTCTGGGCCTCCAGGAAGAACAGTTTAGAACTGATAGAGCTATCCAGTATAAATAAAAGTTTAGTTTAGGTTACCTCTTGTAGTAACACTGGATCAATAAGAGATAATCCTTACTGGACCTCTAGGGAGAACAGTTTAGAACTGATAAAGCTATCCAGTATAAATAAAGTTAGTTTAGGTTTCCTCCTGTAGTAACACTGGATCAATGAGAAATTATTCTCACTGGACCTCTGAACCTCCAGGAAGAACAGATAAAGCTCTCCATTGTAAAAGTCGGTTAACTTTAGGTTTTTTCCTGTATTAACACTGGATTAGTAAGAGATGATTCTTACTGGAAAGAACAAATTAGAACTGATAGAGCTATTCGGTGTAAATAAAGTTAGCTTAGGTTTCTTCCTGTAGTAACACTGGATCAAGAGATGTTCTTCACTGAACCTCTAGGAATAACTGATAGAGCTATCCAGTTTAAATAAAGCTTAATACGGGTCAGCAGCTCCGTCATCGCCTCTAAAAATAACATCAACCTCGGTCTTTCAACGCGGAAGTGAAATCACAAATGACGTCATTTTCATATGCCATATGATCTCGTGTTCGTATTCTAGCCAATCAGCGCTCAGAAAGGGTTGTCCGAATAGAAATCCATTTTGATGTATTCAGTCAATTTAATATATCTTTCGTTATTAATCTTTATGAAACTAGTTGAAATTTTGTAATTATGTTTGGTTATGAGAACTATAGCTCTGACAAAAATATGGAATCGAAATAAAGTATGTTGCAGGAGATATTCAGTTGTTTTAATCATAAAATGGATTTCTATTTGACAACTAGTGCCACAACCTCGTACCCAGGATCTTTCTTTGGGAAAGACCCTGGCTGCGGCTGGTCACGTGCCTCATCAAAAATTTAGCGCCTGAGGGGGTGTGGGGAAAGTATCAAATTACATAAACATGCTTCCAGTGGAACATTCGTTAAAAACATAAATTTTGCGAATTATTACGTTCAAAATACTTGCTAATTTTTGTTTATTTTCTTTGTTTTGAATTTACAAGAACATTCTTACATAAGTTACATTCTTACTTACAGTCAAGTCAAGAAACAAAGCAAATCGTTACTCGCAGTACGTGCTCTGTCGCGTTGTTATTCAATGCATGCTCTCTTCACAATCGAGCGCGGTTATAACAAACCTTTTAATATTGTATTGTTTTTAAAATACGCCATTACATTCGTCCTTTCTTGTAAACGTTGATACGCTTTGTACCGATTCACTTGTTACTACGCGTCTTGTTTATAAGATTTTTAAAAGAAACAGTATTGTCTAGGACTGACCCAATATTAGCAAATGTAAACATTTGATAATAGCCGAACAGAGAAATGTCTATAAGTATAGAGGAAATTTCAGTCATTGGTTTATCTGGATTTAATACATAATTCGTTTTCGGTAATTATAGTAAGACTTTAGCCTTTTTTTGGTCTCTATTAATCATTATATTGTGTTAACATACTATAATCTATATCGCAAATTTACAGTGTCAGATGCGCACAGACCGTCATTGGCATCATACGAATAGACATAAATTTTCGAGTTTTCTAGCCTACTTCTACTAACATTTCTAAAGTTTTTATTGTGAATCACCTGTTTATCTCTAATTCATTAATCATTTATTTATTTGATAGTGTCATATAGTGAATAATGCGTTCACACACAAGCAATCCTGGATATGATATAGACGATGTAAGCTGTCCATTAAAAAATAACGGTATTCTACTTCACAAAGTCAAAGCAAAAATTTAAATCTCACTTGTATTATTAAGAATGCATATACAGCAAAAAATTAAAGCTTATTCATGTCAAAACGAAAGCTGTTTACAAAATTTATAAAGGTGGTAAACACTACTAAAAACAGTGCTCATTGAAAGACATGTATAATATAGTGACATATAATTTGTCGTTTGACTTATCTTTGCAGGTGTATGATTTTAATACCGTAGATTTTCAACAGACAGCTATACTTTGACATATACCATGATCGTTGGTTTCAGCAATGCCAAGGGCCAATTTTATAGTGTTTTGACGGGCTTTAAGTTTTTTTGATAAGGCCTTTATATAGATCAACAATCTGGAAACAGTTGGCGATATTTCGGAAATCAAAAGATCTCGCTATTTCGTTGCAATTCCACATCTCATCAATAAATAAATTCTTTTGGTCAGAGTATCAGGATAGACATTAATACTAAATAAATAACAACCACACTGTTCGGTCTAGAGATCTACATTTTCTTGTAGGTTTAATATCGCCACGCTGCACAAGCGGCAAGCGTGCTTTCTTTGGCAAATCTATAAGTTGAATATTGAAATCTGATCCAACTTGCTTGAATTGTAACTCGACACCAGATTATAGAGTAGAGCGTCACGATATAAATATTAATTTAAGAGTTCTCTTTACGATTTCTTGTTGCAAATTTACAGTAAATTTCATCACCCAAAGTTGCAATTTTAAAACGCTACAAACACGCTCCTTTCCCACCCCTCTCACAGTTACAATTAAATTTACCTCCCAGAATCTGGGAGGCACGTGACCAGCCGCAGCCAGGGTCTCTCCCAGATGACAGAAGGAGAGACCCTGGGAACGAGGTTGCAAGGAGTACAGCTCCGATCATGTCAGATCAAGGAGCACAGATGCGTTATTCTGGGATATTTTCCACCCCACCCTGTAAACATTCCCTGAGGAAAGAAACCGGTATATCTGGCAAGAATCGAACCGGCACCTTTGAAGTGAAAGGCGCTTGCTCTAATAATTGCGCGACCGACACCCAATGGTTTGTCATTACTACTTTGTAGCTCACACAATTATTGACTTACAAACGAGTATAAGATTACGAGTGGTTGCTTCAATGACAAGAAAAGCCTTGTTGATGCAAAAATATAAAGAATATCAGAATCTGACCTGCAGTGCACAATAATTGGTCCAGATTGTTCCATATGATGTGTTCTGAAATGTCTTCTGAAAGCCAGGATTTGAGTGGGATATTTAGGTACACCGTGATCAGGCCAAGATTGAAAGAAGTAATGTCGCACTTCACGTTCTTCTTTGTCCTAAACAGCGTTATTTAAACAGAAGTAGTTAACTTTTACTGCAGACGTTAACGAGAAGGCGTTACTTATAGTAATTTAACACCGTAGCATAATTCTTTTTATCTGGATATTAAGGGCCATTCCTTTATTGATCCAGCGTTGCAACAGAAGGAAATCTAAAGTAATAAAACTCCCCAGAGGTTTAGTAATAACGTAGTTTCTAATTTGTGCAATATTAATACAGGAGGTGAGGAGGATAAGATACTGGGGGGAGGGTATAAATCTGTGGTGTTTGGTAAAATCAAACTGGGAAAAGTTTTCAAACACGTCTGAATATTGCAGGTATCGAACCACAATCCCAAATTAGCTGAGACAGATGCGCCACAACAATTGAAAACAGAAAATAAAACAACTCAAAATAAAGAACAGAAAAGCATGTAATGGTAGAACAATTTTTTCAAAAGAAGTAAAGACCAGAAAAATTAAAAAATGTGTTACATGTTTTAATTCTACTTCTTCTCCGTTGGGCCTGGTTAATCTGTCGAAACAAAACTGTCACATTTATTGCATTTTTCCCCTACCTTTTTCAGTTCTAAAGTGTGTATGACATAATAAGCAAACTCTTCAATCTTCATCAAAGTTACTTCAATATCTCCGTACTTTTCGGTTCCCTCGTCAGGCCAGTATTTGTCACATTTTGGCTGGAAAAGAAATGATACACCAGTTACAATAAATTGTACATGCAGTAATACAATGTAGAGATAGTACCAATACTGTACAACATAGAAAGAAAGGGCAATAAAAACATACTTACCTTCAAAAGTTCAACAAGGGAAGTCACCATCACAATGGAATAACTGCGTTGTTCCCAAACCATTCGCCACATGTCATTTAAAGTAAGTAAAGTAGGACCTTTCAAAATGAAGAAAGTGAAAAAAGGATCTGTAAATTGTTCATATTTACTGGAAACAACTGCAATCAATATACAGTACACGAATACACCATGCTGACACGCAAATGCTTGAACTTAAAAAAATTATTTTGCCGGGGTGATCCAAATCTCTAATAAACCACCACACAGCTGCTCACCTTGGGTTGCAATGTATGCATTTTCCTTGATTCCCTATAAGTAGAGAATATTAATTCAATATTAAAGGCACATTTTAATGCACATTAATTAATTAAAAGCACATTCTATTAAGGTACATTCTATCACTTTAACAACCTTGGTCCTTGAATCGGAAAGTTAATTAAAACGCTAATTCGTTATCAAACTTCGAAACGTCATTAAAAAGACGTCATGGACATAATAGGTAAGTCTTCTTTATGTTCTGCTTTCAATTGTTCTGCTTTTTTTACTTCCTCTTTATTTTCTCGTTTTTTTCTGTTAATTTCAGATAACTAGCTCTCTCATCTCACCCACTGTATAGTTGAATTATAATTAACTATGTATTAATTAAAATTTTGTGTATCATGTAGATATATATCGCGAAATACTGTACTAATATAATTTTTAACTGCAGTATCAAACTACGGTGATGTGGGTAGTCAAAACTATTGTAATGAAAACAGGTTAAGAGAAGCAACTTGCCAAGAAATAATTCCTACATGGGTGTTCTTTTTATGTATGTGGGGTTTCCTGGCGAACTCGACTTGATTTCTTGGTATATATGTAAGTGTATCGTAAAGTTCTCCAAAACCGATTCAAGGTAATTGTCCAAAGATTGAATTTTATTCGGTTTCGTACTTTTATGAAGTTATGTCATTACGTAATGAATTGAGGCAATAAAGTTATGTCATTAAGTTATGAAGTTATGTCATTAGGTAATGGATTAAGGTCTTGAGGAGTTTTTAAAAAGGAACTAAGAAAACTCAAGTTGGAGAAATTAATGAAGAACTTACGTCCATGTAGCTAGCGTTGATGTAGTCGTCCTTTTCATCTCCCGAGAGAACAACGCGACAATGATCATCTAGAATGATTAACGTACAATCCAACTTAAGATATAACGACATACAAAATATTGCAATGGTTATGTACACAAATGAAAAGTATGTAAAAATGTCTTATACTGTACATGTTACGATATTTCCATATCTGTTTTTCTGCTTATTGAACGGCTTCTTAGCCACTTCCCAGGCTGTATTTGTGTTTGAGGGCAAATCCTGTACACAGAAATAACAATATAAAAACAAAAATACACAATTAATGGATGATTTAAATTTTTCTTATTTCATCGCGACAAGGTATAATTTCCCATATATTTTCGCACTCCACTGTGCTTTAAATTAAATAAATGAATGCAATGTTCAATAAAATGACATGCAAGACTGACGTTATCACTCAAAAAGGTGATAGCGCGCCGTTTGCCATCCCTGTTCAAAGCATAAGAATATGTCACATTTCTACGATATGCAATTTTTCAAGTGTTTCCGTTACTTACGTCATATTCTTTTTGGAATTCGTAATTATCGTTTGCTTTCATTTCGTTCACATAATGTGCAAATTCTGCAACCGGAACAGGCGGATGCACGTTCTCCTCGACGTCGTCTTAATAGGAAAATTTCAAATTATTTACGATCGAAAATTGCGGCCGTTCTGCGATTTGTATCGGCAACATCACACTCTCAATATTTCGCGAACCAACCCACCCTGTCAACTTTGCGCAATGTGGGAGAAAATCGGAACGCCCGGAGAAAACCAACGACTTTTTGGCAGAGTGTTCACCTAGCGAGAATAGAACCCCCGATCTTAAGGCCCATTTCCACCAAGGAAAATTTTCCGCAGAAAGAAAATTTTGTAAAATGTGATGGCCGACACAAATTTTCCGTCGGAAAAATATTTTCAACTTTTAACGATGATATTTCGGGAAATTTTCTGTCCGTGGAAATTTTTGTTTAATAAGGGTCTTTGAGCAGTATAAAACGGCTGTTTCAGTTAGCAGTTATTTTGTTAGTTAATTGTTAGTCAAAAATACGGCCTGACGAGTGTAGTCAGTCAATTCCATTCAGACTCTATTTCAACATACCATTTTTATTTAAATAAATGCCTTCTTGATTGTCTTCATCTAGATTGTCTTCATCTTCACTAACAGCTTTTATCTCTTTGTTTTTGTTTTTGTCTTCGTTTTCGTGTTGTTCGCGTGGTCTCCTGAGAAAATGTGAACCATACAAATAAATGGTGCTGAATGTTAGTAAGAATAATCTTTAAACTTCGTGGTTCAGGGCTGGTCACGAATTTAAGATTAAGAAACTTTATTCCACAGTAACATCAGGATGAGAAAAAGCCATACACTCCCCGAGGTTTCAAGTAAAGTGTTCGTTAGAAGAGTTTGTAGGATGTAGGATCGACATGTTAATTACCTAAGTGACGAAGAGCTTTGGTGGAAGATATTATCACCCTACTACATTCAGACAGATATCGTTGTGGAAGATAGGTATCGTCTTAATCAAAGTATCACTGATATTTATTATAACAAAGATTATTGATATTTATTTGCTGTGCTTCCAAACACCGCTTTTGATCACAGCGATTGTTGACAAGTCTCGCGAGTTATTCAAAAAATCGTTTGCTTACCTTGACCCATATAATGTATCAGTCGAGTCTAAGTTATAAGGAACCGAACAACGTCTTTAGATCACCCTTAATGTAATATCTGCTATTATATAATACCTTATTAAATTCTAATCGTTTAATTGGCTGTTTATGGTCACGTGATATTGAATAGAAAATTCCATTTCCAAAGAGTGCAATGGAACACGTTCCATTGCACTCTCCGCGAGTGCAATGGAATAAAACGTATAGTACAATTGCACTCTTTGTGTTTTCGATAAATCGCATCCCTCAAAATGCTTCTCATACGAATCTATTAGTCTATTTTGGTATTATATAAAACAAATAATGAATGTTTCTTCGTGCAATGGTAAGAATATTTTCATTCGGTGAAAGATGGAATGTTCCATTCAACTCGGCTGTCGCCTCGTTGAATGGAACATTCCATCTTTCACCTCATGAAAATATTCTTACCATTGCACTCATAAACATTCATTATTTGTATATAGGACTACAACTCAAACCCGAAAGCAATCGACACATGTCATGTATTTTGAGCTTGTTTTTACTTCAAGCGTACCAAAATGGACCGTGTCGGTTTCTTACATATCATTAGAGAGGTTAAGATACCCCGGTTTCGGTGTACGGGTACGGGTAGCATGATTTTGGTTAGCAATATTTTCGTCGATGTCTGTACTTTTACTCGTAATTTAGGTGCACATTTTTCGCATTATATCATTGTCTATTGCAAGACAACAGAAAAAGTATGATCGAATTACAGACATCAGTAAAACAAGATGACACTACTCGTACCCGTACACCGAAAACGGGGTATCTTAACCTCTCTAATGTCATTAGTTCTGCTCTATAGCAATTACAAAACAAAGAAATACGCTATGTTTTGGTACAATACGTTTGGAATGGAAAAGCAGACATCACATTACCTTCTTCTGAAAAAGATAAAAGCGAGAACCACGGCTATGATAATGACAACGACAGCAAATGAGGCACCCACAGCCGCACCAACACTTACACCACCATCATCTCGCTTGCCTGGATCACCACTATCATCACCGTCTGCTATATAAAAGCCCTGTCACACAATTGCGTATCGTACTAGCGTATGCCAGCGTATGAAAAATATCACACATACGCCGGTATACGCTGACATAGCTAGGGGTAAGTTAGGCATAGGTTGTATACGTTTCAAGCACGGTCGCGTACGGTGGCATACGCTGGCATACGGCGAGGCAGAAAATTTTTTTTAAGCATGCTCAAAAATTTTGTGCGTATCGGACGTATGCTTTATACGATAAGCATACTCTAGGCAAACGCTGAATACGCTAGAGGTACGCCAGATGTACGGTACTCATACGCTGGCATTTCAAAGGATTTTTGTGCGTATGAAAATTATTTCATTAATTTTCATACGCTTCTCATACGTTTAGTGTGACAGGGCCTTAAAGGTTTAAAAATTTTCATTAATAACGCATGAAGAAGCCGCACCAACACTTCCACCACCACTTTCACCATCACGGTCGTCTTTTATCACTATAGGAACAGTATTAAAAACGTTTCAAACAAGTACAAAATGCGAATTTTCGATTATAAACTATTCCCAGGTGGAAGGGGAACTTTCCTTTTCGGTGCTTCTTGCTAAATTAGCTAAATAAAAACCCATCTATAACCTTCCCCACATTACCTTTGGTAAACGTGAATGGATCACTCCAGTATGACCAAAACGGATTCTAAAATAAAGAACATTAATTTACCTAATAGGATGCTATCTCGCCCTTCAAATAAATGCTACTGGTAACGAAAGGTGTTAACAGATATATCGAGTCATCGGGCAAGAGGCTGAAGCGGACGACTGAAAAACATTTATATTTACAAAATCACTTTTTGCCAATGTTTTATATGTACATACCCCTGCACCGTCTGTATTCATTTGCGCGATTCTATACATTGTATTTGGTATCAATATATAAACATCAACAGCTTCTCTTTTCCTTCGTCTGTTGCCTTTAGACTCTCGCAAAAATATTTCTACTGTATCATTTTGGAACTCGGTTATATCGAACTGTTTAGCAATGAAGACGACATTATTTGCTTTCGTGTCCGAGGGAGGAGAATTTTCTACATTGAGATTTTCAGGTGCGGGAGGTTTACTTGACTCTGATTGAAGTTGAAAAATAACTAGGGCGACAGTCCTAACAAGCAAAAAGATTATAATTATTTAAAATCCTAACGTGTATTGGCTTGATAGTAGTACATGTAGAGGATGATGCATGCGCCTCATCTCAGCTATCCGAGTTCAATCTTTTAAAATGTAATTTTCTAGTTATACTTTGGCATCTGTCGCCAGAACAGTGCTTCTAGTTTGACTCGAGCAGCACAGGTTTCCTCTTGTAGCAATATTAGATAATTAATGGATTGGCCATTACTGGACAACCAGGGAGAACAATTTACCCATAATAAATATGTTAATCTAGTTGCAGTGCAGTTTGAAGGGATGGGCGGGTTCATGGAGCTGAGCCACCCTTGTTATATAAACAGTTATCATTTCGTTCGCGTATTTACTGCTTGCACTCAAAAGGCTGCAAAACAGTATTGCCTTCATGAACATAGAGATTATAAATAACACTAGAGGAGGCATTGTAATCTTAATTCAGTAAAAAAAAGGGAACGCGACTATTGGGGGGCAAATTCAAGTCCCGGATGTGTATTCGTGTTCCCATTGGTGACGAGTTTCAAATCAGCCAATGAGAGAACGATTTTATATCCGGGACTTGAATTTGCCCCCCATTAGCTGCGTTCCCAATTTTTAAACTCGATGCCTCCTCTAGTGTTATTTATAATCTCTATGTTCATGAAGCTCAAGCAAAAACTGAAAAGAAAATGACTTGAGTCTAAACTCGATATAACTTCGTCTTGTCACAAGGAAGATCCGGAGAAATTCCTGAGCCATACCTTCAATCTTTCCTTATAGTAAACGCTTTTCCCGTATTTAATCCTGTTGTATTGACGGGCATTTACACTGTCATTTTCGTAGATTCGCGCATGCGCTTGACAGCGATGCTGTTTATTTTCTACAGAAGACTAAGGTGGAAGGCATATGTAATAAACATCGTGCTATTGGAATACTTAATAATGACAACCACTGTGTATGACGCGTTTATAGTATTAAAATTCATCTAAATTGCAACCTATTTGATATAAACCTACTTTATTTTTTGTTCTTCCTTTGGCTTTATAAGTATTACTATGTAACCATCATCCGTTTTTCCTGACAGCTTTAAAGGCGCTGGAAATGAAATAAACACCTATATCTTTATTATAATCATTATTAGACGTGAATAGAAGCTAGTTTTAAAAGATAATATACCTTTTGAGATTATAGTAGCTACAAAAAATTACCTAATTTCAGTGCATTCCCTTTCAAGAATTACGAACTTACTACAAATAAAGAGCCAGACTAAAAGTACTCTTATTAGAATCAATTATAGATATTTTTAGTCATTTAAACTCATTCTGGGGTGGTTTGAACTCCTTTGCATTCTAGTGAAATATATTTACAAAGGTACAAGGTCTTCACCTACATCATTGCAGAGAGTCCAGCATTTCTATATCTTCAATACGTCAGTTCATCTGATTTGTGTAATTATATAGTGTGCATCCGTGCATGTCAGAAAGAAACTTAAATATTTCAAAATCATATCTCTAAAGTCTAAAATATATCTCCTATATACTGTACCTGAATGTGAGATCCATGATCTTGATATTACATCACTTCTTCCAGCCCGGGTCTCAACTTGTATGTCAAACGTATATTGTTTATTAAACTCAACGTCAATAGTAACAGATCTCATTTCTGACGATATACTCAATGTTTTACAGGTCCCTTGTGATGCATTGTAATTTCCATGGTACTTTAGGACGGTTGTCTGTTCAGGAAGGAATGGTTGAGTCCAAGAGATGGTGTACTTTTTTGGGGCAGTAGAAATAATTTTTAAGTTGACAGGAGCTGCAAAGAAGAAAGGAAATCACTACTGTGACGGAATATGCGATCTTAATTAACAAAACGTTTCGTCAAATTTAAACATTACTATAATTTCTCTTAAAATGCTATTCATTTGTGAATTTGCGATATTATATCTAAACCTCCAAATAAGACATTATCAGATACGAAGGCTTTGCCTCAGACTGAACTAATTTGTGGAGTAAATTTATTTCGAAACATAATCTATTGGGAGTTAAATTAACGTGCTCCTGCATTATTCCCCAAATTAGTATATCTGTGCTGTTCCGATGGGACAATTGGACAGTTCAGTTTTGCTTACTAGTCTTTAAATGTTCAACTTTTTCCACAATTAACGCATACATATTTTTCATTTTTTCCTATTTAATTTGTCATGCTTGGAAAAATTACCTGGAGGTTTTGCAAACGTTTTAACAACTTTGCTCCACTGTGTCGAGTAGTACGAGTAGTGAGAGACCTTTAGAAAACAAAATATTCATTCATCACGTTTTCGTCCAAAATATAAACGCATGCACAAGTTCTGTTTTTACAAAATTTACCTGACTTTCAAAAAATCTTAGGAACAAGATATAACTTGAATTCTGTTTCAGAGGCTGGTTGAAATATTTTTGTATTTTTGAATTATACTCCTTCCCATCACCGATCATGAATGTCTGAGGGAGATCATCAACTTTCAAGTATGCAGTGACATAAGGATCTCTCGTGTTTGCATCGTAAGGCTTCAAATCGCTCTCCTCAATTTCTTCTACTCCTCGATCTTTTGGAGCATCCTTTACGATGATCATCACTTCTCTAAAATTTAATGCAAAACAAGACAATATATGGGCTCTTTCATGACCATTGCCATTCAATGACCCACCAACTTTTTACGCCATCAGGTTATTCATTGTTTTTTTTTTACTTTGTTATTTTCTAAATTCGTCGTATATATATGCAAGTATGTCCACTATGTTTTTTGCTAATGTGATATTTTGTTTCATTATGTGTCAATTTTACTTGTTCAATCTGTCACTGTGATTTGCTTAGCGATTTGACTGATTGATGTAATTGATACATTGTATACTGCAGAAGCGAATCTGGATTAATCATGACAATTAATAATATTGTGCAGTTTTTTGTGTACATATCTCTTTTCCTGTCTCTTAATGAGTTAAATAATGATTATGCCAGATATACTCACTTGATATACGAAGCAGGTTTGGTTATAGTTAAGTTTAGACTTGAATAAGACGCCGCGACAGGATCCACACGCTCTAAAAATCACGAGTAGTTTATTATTTAAGATAGTCTATATTATATACACATATGTCTACAGGAAACATGCAGTAAAACCGTTTTAAAGCTGTTCCAACAAGTTGGTATGAAGTCATTCTTGGGTTGCTTGTTCCAAGTTTATTATACCAACCTACCAACCGTTTGTCGAAAATGTCTACAAGCCTAGAAGGCTAAATATACAAATCAGTTTACTCGAAACCCCCAAAACCTACTTAGACAACTTCGTGAAGCAGCATCACAGCCAATAGACCGATACATTCTCTCTTTGGTATTTATTATTTAATTAAATAAGTGAAGATATGCATGGTGTTGGTACACGAAGATAATTCATGGAATACTTGGTCGTTGTGTACAAACAATTTCCAGTTATCTTGAATTGATGTAACAAATTGCCTTCAACATTAACAAACCTAATCTGAAATGTGTCTACCTCCATTTGTGATTTTACTAATTTCCGCACTCTTAGGCCCATCAGCAATCGTACGAGCAGCGACAGTCACAAAGTATTTTGTAGCAGGTTGAAGATTATTGATCTGAGCAGTATTCGAGTGAGCATTTGTTGGAGAGCAACTCGGATTACTTGATCTTGATTTGTCAGAATAGCAAACATTGTATCCTGTCAGTTCACCATTCTGAGAATTTCTAGATGGAGCAATCCAAGATACTGTCAGTTTGCTTCTACTGCGCTTTGTAAAAGCCACCGACCTTGGAGCTCCGCTAGGTGCTGAAAAAAGAAAAAAAGAAGATGATGTCATTCATTGCTATCAATATACATTTCCAGCACGTTTGTAGATGAATTTCAAGACGATCTGTTTTCTCAAAATTTTCTTTTTCTTTTACATCTTTTAAATAATACTGATAACTTGAATATGGAAAAAGACGTGAAAACGTGATCCTATACATATAATTAACAATTATTCGCCGAAGGCGAGGTGATTATCGGTGAATAAAAACCGAGATGAAGTCGAGGTTTTTATTCACGATAATCACCGAGCCTGAGGTGAATAATTGTTTTAGTATAATTTCATAGGTGATTATTTGGAAAAAAAATAAGAAAATAGACATTTCTTCGTCATTTAATTGACAAAAAGGCTTCGGCCGCCATTTTGAAAATCGCTTAGGTGATTATCGCGTAATAATCACCTCAACGGCAACCAATCAGCGTGGAGAATTTTCAATAATCACCTATGTAATTATACTAATTAGACATATTCAGTGACCCAACTTTCTTCCTTATTACCTGCTTCAATGGTCGTGAATTCATTAGAGATTTTGCTGCTTCTCTGTGAATAGCCATCTAAAGCCACAATTCCAACAGTATACTTAGTGTAAGCTGTAAGTCCAGGAATATTAATTCGAACTTTATCTGTACGTCGATATGTTATCCATCGATGTCGTTGGTCAAGATAAATATAGTATTTAGTTATGTAACTGGACATCGCAGGTGCTGTACGTATTCTCCATGTCACTTGTGCCGAGGTGACTGATGGTGTAACTTGAACATCGTATACAGGAGCTGGCTTTTGAACTAAGATAAAAAAAACACCCGCAAACATTAGCAAGGAATTGATCTTACTTAATTGTAACACTTATAGATTTAATTCGGAACTAAAAATCACTTTTTAAGTCGAAAAACATTCCTGATAAAATTTATTACAAGGCATAAGAAAAATTCATACGGGTTTATTGATCACATTGTAAAGGTATTTAAATGCTCTGAATTTTATGCTTTGGGACAAAAGGTTGAAAAACAGGAATAATATCATGATTGCAGGTATTCCCTTTGTTCTCGCAGGGCAATTAATAACTAATACACCTCATTATATTCATTTTTTCTAATCCTACCCGCTTTTACGTCATGTCAGGTAGAATTAGTTCTAATCCTACCCGAAACGACGTCAAAGCGGGTACGATTAGAAAAAATGAATATAAATGAAGATATCTGAAATCGCCAAAACTAAACAAAGACAGGGAAAACAATTATACCATTTAATTTATACCAATATTTATTTTTAATTATAAATTATATCAATTATAACTTGTTACAGTAATTATAGATTTTTAAATATAAATTAAGAGATTGTTCACCACCTGTATTTTTTCTAATTTAATGAAGTCGAATATGTTGGAAAGAGACAGATAGTTAAAATCGAACAACTGGCGACTAAGCAAGACAATAATAACTCGAAACACATTTTTGTGGCATATATTTTGGGCAGAGAAGTGCTCGAAAACAGTTCCGGCCGAACTGTCTAGAGGCTTTCGCTAACCTAAGTTTTATCTAGAGAAACAGGCGAATCTCCAGACTGCAGAGGGAATGCTTGACTCTGGGCTGGAACTGATAACCTGACTGACCACATCGAGTCTCTAGGTCTGCTCATTCAGGTCTTCAGTGCGACCTGAATGAGAAGTGATTGCGCTTCACGTGGTGAAGTGTTGTCCATCGGACAGCACTTCCCTGCCATTAATGACAATCTACACGAAGTATAGGTTGTCATTTCCGCCACGGGAACGAGATGTTTTTTGTTTGTTTTTTTGTTCTTTTTTTTTTAAATAATTTTTCTTTGTGCTTATATAGCATGTCAATATAAGGCAGATTCGTTAAGCGTTTATAGTTTTGTTGTTGTTTTTATTTGAAAGAACTACCTTATTATAGGAAATTAACGATGCACTTTATTAACGCGGATTTTAAAAATTCGCGTTAATTTAATTAATGTTAATTTATGTGACGTTAATTTTAAGTATGTAATTTTCATTTATCGTTAGTTAAAAATACCTAGATTTGTTTTATATAACTCTTTTAATATCAAAATACAGCATATTAACGTCAACTAAAAACATCAGTGCTCTTCTTAACATTAAACCTTTGTTGTTGTTGTTGTGTCTATATTTTCCGATTCGCGTTAATTTTAATTAATTTGTCAACCATGAAGATCAGATTCGCGTTAATGTTTTAAAAGACCTATAGAAGCAATCCGCGTTAATTTGATGTCGCGTTAATTAATCAGTATGACGCGTTAATAAAGTGCATCGTTAATTTCCTATAATAAGGTAATTGCAGACTCATTTCAGTTCATTGCCGACGCGGCCAAGTCCGGCTATAGGACACGCTTATAGTATTAGCTGCATGATTGGTTATGTGGACCGTTAACGCAAATTCAATGGATCTGCTTGCATTATTAAATCACGGTATGAGTGACCAGAGCACGTACAAAACCCTCCATGCATGAAGTACGCGAAAAGGATCCACATAACCATGTAAGCCATACACTATAACAGCTAAAGTAGATATAATAAATAATAGAGTAAACTTAGACTTTTTGGATTGTATTAATTTGCAATCAGTTTTGATATTACACTAAAACGTCCATCGGAGTTCTTATATATCTTTCATAACAATCTGAGGACCAGCGTCCAAGAGTCTTTATAAGCCAAGCAGGGAGTCCTGCTGAACCAGTTGCTGTAGCTGCTCCAATTCTGAAGCTATGTGAGGCATACATGGTTTCGTCTAGTCCTTGCTGCTGAAGTAAACTGCGTAGATGTGAAGTTATAGTGTTGCAAGAGTGAGTGGAGCTCCAGATTCAAAATGAAAAAGAGGTCAACTTTCGCGATGGAAGGTGTTTGGAGTAAATAATTCTTCCTTGCCCGTACAGGGCAGAATTCATTAAGCGATGATCCAATTTTTAAACGGCATCCACGGCGAAATGGGTCAGTTTGTGAGCGTTTGATGATTACGTCAAAGTGTTCTGCATTCAAAATATTCGGGTAGAAAATAATATACTAAAACTGTCTGTACCAGTGTAGGTAGTACCAATGTGAAAATGCTGTGCTGAGTGGTTATATTACTACCTTAAAAAACAAGCAGAAACTCGACGTCCCGAGCGAAGGTCCTTCGCCAAAACGTCGAGTTTCTGCTAGTTTTTTAAGGTAGTAATATAACCACTCAGCCGACAGCATTTTTAGAAAATAATGCAAAGGCAGCCCAGAGCATTACATTGTCTATAGAAACTGTAAACTGGGGACGCAGTGCACAATGAAGACATGGGAGTTCTTTAAAAGTGATGGGCCGAGGATCTCTCGTTACCATCACCTTTAATATGTCCGGCTGTACTAGGTTTCAATCTGTACACCGCAACCGTGCAACATGTTTCTGGAGTTACTATTGTTTTGTACTTAATTCAAATCTTCAGTGGTTCCCACAATTTTTAGTACCGCACGGTCTTAACAAATAATTTTATCCATTTCGAGTAGGCGGCATATGAAAATCTACGTTCCAGATCTGACCAATGCTCCTCACATTTGCCGTAAACAAGATTAGTCCCACAGTGACCGTGGAGTGTGTTTGGATGTGACTGGGGGGACGGGACGAGTTAGCGAAGCCTATATTGTTGTCAGAATATTCTAACCATATATTTAATTACCATTTTTCTTTTATTTAGCGAAAAGTGCGGGGGGAGTATGCATGCTCACCCCCACCTCCAGCTCCTAAATAAGAGAAAATTATTGCTACTATACTTTCTATTGCCATAGAAGGTATAGTAGCAATAATTAAATTTGAAACCTACCTTCTCCACACAGTTCTATTCTGAGACAAAAATCTATGTTTTCAGTTGCAGTGGATTGGATCTTTATATATCTCGCATTATAAACTCCGTTAAGCGGCTTAATGAATGGTTGATATTCATTCTGGTTTTCTGTGATCTAGAAAAAAAAAGATTTACGTGACTGCGTCCGTTTTGCTGTTGCTAGCAAATTTTATATCTTATGACTTATAGTTTCACTTCAATGTTGTTATAGCTAGTGAAACTGACACGATCAATGCAGATCTATTTACGCATACAATTCGTCAGAATGCCGTACGTATATTCTCCATGCAACTTCATCGTTAGAATAATCAAATTTTACAGATCAATGTTACAACTTAATACCTGTATTGGACTATCCCTGTTGATCCAAGTTCCAGCACGGCCGTATATCAGTGAATATGTGCTACTCCGCTGTGTCTTATCAGTTATAACCACAACTTGTGTTAAGTGGTATTCTTTTTGAAGGTCGATAGAAAGATACGATCTGGAACCCGAAGCACACCAACCAGCTTCAGTAAGCCTCGCATTTTGATAATTAGATCCACCACTGCCAGAAAACAGATCGTCTGGAAAGGTGTGTGTGTCTTGGAGCAAAGGTTTATCGCATATTTTTCCTACAGTGAAAATAGAGGCAAATGACGTCATGAACTCCCGACGACTAGAACCATACATCGTCCTATGTGTACGTATATTGTGCTACTGCAGTGTTTAACTCCGCTATATTTGAAACATTATCAGGAAAGAGTAAAATATTAATCTCAAAACTGTGTTGTTTATTGCACTTTTGCCCCAAAAGCCTCGTTTTCATGTGGTTATTTCCTCATGTTTCGCGCACAATAGGGTTAGAGTTAAGCTAATTGTGATTGGGTTGAATATCAAAGAGAAACATATTCATGCACAACATATAGGACTTTATTTTTTTTCTTGCGGTCCGAAGTCATATTTTACGCTTTTCTGCAATCTGATTGGCTACGTGAGCGGTCCGTATGAGCCCGTACGGACCGCGCGAGATTTAAAGCCGTAGAGCCAATGTTTTTATTTTTCAAAATTTAAAGACGAGTTTAAAGGCTACTTTTTAAAACATTAAAATGACTGCAGACGATGAAAAACACAGTGAAAGCGAATTTTACTATCTCACAAAAGATATTTCTCTTCCCGATAGCATTGGTAGAAACGACGTTTTATTTGGCAGCTTCATTCGCGTGCGGGAGGAGTGATTGGGGAAATCCAGAGGAATTAAAAAAAAATAAAAATATTATTTACCGGTATGGTCGGTCCGTATAGAGAAATATTTCTCGGCCTTCGGCCTCGGGCCGTTTTTAAGACCTCGCGAAATATTTCTCTATACGAACCTCCAATCCGGTAAATAACATATATGTCATGCCATATGGCCTACATGCCAAAACAGGCAAAAATGGAAACGAGGCCATTGGGAAAACGGTAAAGTCTATTGGGGGTTTATTGCAAAAGGGATGTTTATTTGAGAGGATAGTTAAAGGGTTTAAAAAGTACATACATGCTTGTGTGATGTTACTCTGAGTATATATCCACACCGGGCAGGCTTGAAAAATATGCCTGGCCACGGCGGGATTCGAACCTACGACCTTTGGAATACTAGCCCAATGCTCTTCCAACTGAGCTACGAGGTCAGGACGGTTCGAGTATGCGATATATGTGATTATTAGATTACACTGATAGTATGATTATTAGATTACACTGATATCGAAGGAACTAGATTCAGTTCCGAAATATCGCATACTCGAACCGTCCTGACCGCGTAGCTCAGTTGGAAGAGCATTGGGCTAGTATTCCAAAGGTCGTAGGTTCGAATCCCGCCGTGGCCAGGCATATTTTTCAAGCCCGCCCGGTGTGGATATACACTCAGAGTAACATCACACAAACATCTTATTCACCTGAGTACATTACACCAACACAGCAGATTTCATGATTATTAGATTACACAGATATCGAAGGAACTAGACTCAGTTCCGAAATATCGCATACTCGAACCGTCCTGACCGCGTAGCTCAGTTGGAAGAGCATTGGGCTAGTATCCCAAAGGTCGTAGGTTCGAATCCCACCGTGGCCAGGCATATTTTTCAAGCCTGCCCGGCGTGGAAATACACTCAGAGTAACATCACACAAGCATCTTATTCACCTGAGTACATTACACCAACACAGAAGTACATACATGTTTTACGAAACCTATCTGCTACGGTACCTGCTATATTGGTCACAAAATATTTAGAAAATTTTGTGCTCTTCTGCCAATAACCATCTTCAGTCTGAATTTCAACTTTATACCGAATATTCGGTTTAAATCTTTTAATAACGATACGAGTAGTTTCTCGAGATATAGTCTCGTATTTTGCACCGTTGAGATATATAATGACCTTTGTTATATAACTGGATTGTTGAGGTGTAGGTATACTCCACGTCACACGTGCTGCATATTGGTATGGTGTAATCCAAAGATTATTTACAGGAGCTGGATTTTGCACTAAATATAAAAACACCACAATCTTTAGTGAGAACATAGGCGTACCGGGCGGGGGGCCGGGGGGAGGGGGTAGGGTTCGAAAATTTAGTCAATTTTGTGGCAAATGTAGTGTTTTTTTGGAAAATTTATGTGATGCTCCGAAAAATTTTGGTATGTCCGAAAATTTTTTTTGACCCCTTAAATGGTACACTGACCGAAATTATTTTAGCGAGGGGGGGGGGGGG